GTCTTGCTGCCCAGGCGGGTCTCGAACACAAGGGCTCAGGCAATCCACTCACCTCAGCCTCCCAAAGGCGCGGGATTACAGGCTGAGCCACCGACCCCCAGCTTTTTTTTTTTTTTGAGTTGGGGTCTTAGTCTGTTGCCCAGACTGGAGTGCAGTGGCCACTCCCGGTCACCGCAGCCTCGACCTGCTGGGCTCTGGATATCCTTCCGCCTCAGCCTTCCAAGTAGCTGGAACTACAGGTGCGCGCCACCATGCCCGGCTAATTTTTGATTTATTGTAGAGATGAGGTCTCGCCAAGTTGCCCAGGTGGGTCTCGAACCCGCGGGCTCAGGCAATCCACTCACCTCAGCCTCCCAAAGGCACGGGATTATAGGCTGAGCCACCGAGCCCGGCTCATATCTGCTTTTTTTTTAAAGAGATGGGTCTTGTTCTTTTGCCCAGGCTGAAGTACAGTGTCGTGATCACAGCTCACTGTAACCTTGAATTCCTAGGCTCAAGAGATCCTTCTGCTCAGACTCCCAAGTAGCTGGACTATAGGCATTTACCACTATGCTTGGCTTAAAACGTGTCTATTCCTAAATCTCTCAATGCTCAAATTTCTTATTTTCACGCCTTTTGTGAAATAACATTTTTTTCTGAGTTGGAGTTTCACTCCTTCGCCCAGGTTGGAGTGCAGTAGCACGTACACTCACAGCCACCACAGCATCAACCTGCTGGGCTCTGGTGATCCTTCCACCTCAGCCTTCCAAGTAGCTAGAACTACAGGTGCGTGCTACCATGCCCGGATAATTTTTGATTTATTATAGAGATGAGGTCTTGCCAAGTTGCCCAGATTGGTCTTGAACCCACAGGCTCAGGCAATCTACTCGCCTCGGCCTCCCAAAGTGTTGGGATTATAGGCTGAGCCGATGAGCCTGGCCGTAAAATAACATTTTTACAAATTTTGGGGTAATTCAAATTTACATAACAGTTGCAAAGATAGTACAGAGTGTTTCAATATACCCTTCACCCAGCTTCCTCTAAAATTAAAATACTCATAGTACATCTGTCAAAACTAAGAAACTATCACTGGTACAACACTATTGGCTAAACTCCAGACTTAAACTCAGATTTCACTAGCTCTCTGCCAATGTCTTTTTCTGCTCCAGGATTCAGTTCAGGATCCCACACAGCACTTACTTACCAAGCCTCCTTGGTCTCCTCTGGTTTGTGACAGTTTCTCAGTCTTTCCTTGTTTTTTGTGACCTTGAAACTTTGAAGGGTATTGGTCAGGTATTTTGTAGAATGTCCCTCAGTTTAGGCTCTCATCTGATGTTTTCTCATGATAGACTCAGGTTTTAGGGAAGAATAGTTCTCGGTGTATCATGTTAACATGACTTAACACTAGTGATGTGAACCTAGATTACTTGGTTAAGGTGGTGTTTACCAGTTTTTTCCCACTCTAAAGTCAATTTTTCCCTATCCATACTCTAGTCTTGGGAAGTGAATCACTAAGTCCAGTTCATATCAACAGGGGTGGGGGACATTTAAGATCCACCTCTTGAGTGAATACATTATCTGTCTATAGTCATGCACCACATATAATGTTTTAGTCAACAACACACTTCATATGTGACTCTTGGCCCATAAGATGATAATGGAAGCCGGGTGCAGTGGCTCATGCCTGTAGCCGGGTGCAGTGGCTCACACTTGTAATCCCAGCTAATTCCAGCACTTTGGAAGTCAGAGGCAAGAGGATTGCTTGAGCCCAGGGGTTCGAGACCAGCTTGGACAACTTGGAGAGACCTCACCTCTACAATAAATAAATAAATAAAAAATTAGCCGGGCGTGGTGGCATGCACACCTGTGGTTCCAGCTACTTGGAAGGCTGAGGCGGAAGGATCACCTGAGCCCAGCAGGTCGAGGATGGATGTGGTAGCAGTGAGCATGCCACTGCACTTCAGCCTGAGTGACACTAAGACTTTGAAAAATTCCTATTGTTTAGTGACCTCGTAGCCCTGGTAGGACTGTAGTGTAAAGCACTACTCACATGTTTACGGTGTTGTCCTCTTCCCATTAGCTGGGAAAGGTCTTAAACTAAAGTAGCTACTTTAGACCCTGAGATGGAAACCACATGTTGAGATTTACAAAACAAGTCCACCAGTCAACTCTGGTCAGCCTAACTATGAACTTTGAAGGTAGTCATTTCTCTCTTGTGCAAGTGATGTTTCAGGGTTGCTTGTTATAACTTAGCTTTTAAAATGTATCTCAACAGAAACATTTTAAATATATAAACATACATCTTTTATAGCTATCAGAGTAGGCACACTTCAAAACTGAAGAATATTACATACCTCAGGAGAAACATGAGAGGCAAAGAAATCTTCCTCCTTTGGTGGAGGGGACAAAGATGGAACCACACAACTATCAAGCCACAGCTAGAACAAAAATATAAAATAGGGTTTAGCATTTCATCTGTCTGCAAAGGGTTTTATTTCCTATTCTTCACCCCCCTTCTAGAGACTTGCTTCCTATAGATTGGTACTTTCCTTTATTATAAAATCAGTAACATGCTGACGCAAGGCTCCTCAGTACATTTTAGTAATATATCAATCCAGTGAATTTTGCTTCCAAACCCTGAGGAAGTCAAGTGCCCCAAATCCACGAGCCATTTCTGAAAAGGAAAGATCAAGGATTTCATATCTAAGTGCAGGTTCCAAACTACAGTCAATCTTCATTACTCATGGATTCCATATTTATAACTTCACTTACTTGTAAAAATTTATTCATAAACCCCAATCAGCCCTCATAGAGTCTTCACAGTCATTCACAGACAAGCACAGAGCAGCAAAAAATGAGCTGCTGAGAAGCATGTTCCCAGCTGAGGTAGAACAAGGCACACTCTGCCTTCTTGTGTCAGTTCTCATACTAGTAAATAAGTGTCCCTTTTGCAGTCTAACTAGTATCATGGTTTTCACATTTGTGTGCTTTCACTGATGATTTCATTGCTTAAAATGGCCCTCAAGTGCATCCTAATGTGCTTAGGCACATGAAGGCTGTGATGTGCCTTTTAATTGTAGAGAAAACAAACATGTTAAATAAGCTTCAATCAGGCATGAGTTATAACCCCTTTCCCATAAGTCCAATGTTCATGAGCCAGCAATATTAAATAAGGTATCTTTAAATAGAGAAACACATTAAATAAGGTTGTATATTGATCAGTGGAAAAAAATGTGACCAGAGGTTCATAGAAACCTAATCCTGTATTTCTCCTAGAAGTAAAGTTTCAATTTTCACTAATTCAGGATCATGGCGAATTCACAGAACATAACTAATAAGAATCAACTGTACACTGTTTGCTTGCAAGAGAATTCAAGTCAAAAAGTTTTATTACTCAGGATAAAAACTACGTTTTCATAGAATAAATGTTTACCTAAAAAAGAAAAACCAGTCTTCCAGGGACTTACATCAGTACCATGCTTCCGTGTTGCTTGGGAGGCAAGCGACTTGATTTTCTCCCTATAGAGCTGAGCAGTGCGGCTGTTATACTTGGCATTGGTGTCACTGGTGGCACACCCATGTTGATGGAAAAAGGAAGACTACAGAGGAAAGCAAGCAGATGAATAGAAGTACTGCATTAAATCCAACATGGAGACCTAAAATGCTACTTCATGTAATGAGGGATTTAAAAAAATACTAGTGAAAACAAAAATAATTTAAACATCATAAAAAGTTCTAAAATAAAAATTTTCTTATAAGAAAGGAATTCCTTCCACAAGTGCAACATTCATAAAGTATTTTGGTAAAACTAGATATAAGGTTTGCATTACAAAATCAAATAAGTGGTCTTCATTTCTCTGTTAAACTACCTGTCATTCTTTTTTTTTTTGATTTGGAGTCTCACTCTATTGCCCAGACTGGAGAGCAGTGGCATGCTCCCGGCCACTGCAACCTCAATCTGCTGGGTCCTGGCGATCCTTCCGCCTCAGCCTTCCAAGTAGCTGGAACTACAGGCGTGCACTACCATGCCTGGCTACTCTGTCATTCTAAACTTTACTTTGGGGATGGTTTCTATTCAGGACTGTTTTTCTTTTTTTAGAGACAGGCTCCATCACCCAGGCTGGTGTACAATAGTACAATCTTGGCTCACTGTAACCTCAAACTCCTGGGTTCAAGCAATCCTCCCATCTCAGTCTCCTGAGTAGCTGGGACCACAAGCACGTACCACCATGCCCAGCTAATATATATATTTTCTGAGTCTGAGTCTCACTGGAAATTGATTGTTCATGAATTAAAAGTCCCGATTAGAGGCAAGCATGGTAGCTCACACCCATAATCCCAGCACTTTGGGAGGCTGAGGCGGGATGACTGCTGAGGCCAGGAGCTTGTGACCAGCCTGGGCAACATAGTGAGGCTCAGTCTCTATACAAAATTTTTTTTAATTAGCTGGGCCGGGTGTGGTGGCTCAAGCCTGTAATCCCAGCACTTTGGGAGTCTGAGGCGAGAGGATTGCCTGAGCCCAGAGGTTCGAGACCACCCTGGGCAACTTGGTGAGATCTTGTCTCTACAACATATCAAAAACATTAGCTGGATATGGCAGTGCATGCCTGTAGTTCTGGCTACTTGGAAGGCTGAGGCAGAAGGATCACTTGAGCCCAGCAGGTTGAGGCTGTGGTGGCTGTGAGTGTGCCACTGCACTCCAGCCTGGGCAATACAGTGAGACTTCAACTCAAAAGAAAAAAAAAAAGTCTCTACATTCTCACTTTCTGTTTTAATTTTCTTCAAAGCATGTGTCATTGCCTATTATTATTCTTATTAATTTACTCCTTTAGTTACTCTCTGACTGTCTCTGCCTATAAGAGCTTGTTTGTCTTATTCCCAGCACCTAACCTAACCTAACGTCTTGTTGAGTTGGAGTCTCACTCTTCGTCCACTCACTACTGGAGTGTAGTGGCATGCTCACAGTCACAGCAGCCTCGACCTGCTGGGCTCAGGTGATCCTTCTGCATCAGCCTTCCAAGTAGCTGGAACTGAAGATGCACACCACCACACCCGACTAGTTTTTGTGATTTCTTGTAGAGATGAGGTTTCATCAAGTTGCCCAGGCTGGTCTTGAACCCCTGGGCTCTGGCAATTCTCTCGCCTTGGCCTCCCAAAGTGCTGGGATTACAGGCTGAGCCACTGTGCCCGGCCAGTATCTTGTTTTTATTAGAGGTTTAACAGATTTTTGAATAAACAGGTCAACAGGGTCTGTCCAACTCCAAAACCCATCAGGTTTACCCCCTTATCCCATTATGCCTCCAAAACATGCAAGTATTGAACTACGTTACTAAAGTAATAAATATGTAAGCAAGAAAGAAATGACAAGTCTGATTTGAACTTACTGCGTTAGCGTTTCCTCCAACTTGCATACAACGCAATTGAAACCAGGACCAGTTAGAATCCAACTCTGTAGATCTAAATGGAAAGAATATTCCTAAGTGTTAATAATTTTCTTACCCAGAAGCAAACCACTAACCTTTTGATAACAAGATTTCCTTTAGCTTTAGGATTCTAAAGAATTTATAAATGTTAATAGGGACCCATGTTCAGGATGCTAAGACTCCAGTGTAGTTGACACAGGGCTCTTAGGACAACTCTTTGCCTCCCTTTCTTGGTGGGTTATGAGCTAAAAATCTGGCAATATGTCTTCTACTCAAAATAGATGTGCTGCTTGGATTTTTCAAGGTCAGCTACCTACTTGGCCAGTTTGACTCCTATCACGAGCATGGAGGATGCTTATACTCTTATAATCAAATGGAAGGGACCTACCTACCTTACATCACGACCAGCAGGGAGACAATAAAATGCAAGACTTCATGCACCTGAAATAAAAGCTATAAGTGCCTCCAGCCCCCACCACATCTTATGCCCTACTTGTCTCCATTGTAAGATCAAATCAGAGCAAGTTTCAACCTGATAAAACTGATTGAAAAGAAAAAAAAAAACTTTTTAAATCAGAGCAAGGTAAAGGCAGTACATGTAGCCCCAACAAGGCAAATTCACCAAGGCAACAATGTTAGAATCTTTATTTATTTATTTATTTTGAGTTAGAGTCTCACTCTGTCGCCCGCTCCTGGCCACTGCAGCCTCGACCTGCTGGGCTCCGGCGATCCTTCTGCCTCAGCCTTCCAGGTAGCTGGAACTACAGGCGTGTGCTACCACGCCCAGTTAATTTTTGATTTATTGTAGAGATGAGGTCTCGCCAAGTGGCCCAGGCAGGTCTTGAACCCGCGGGCTCAGGCAATCCACTCACCTCAGCCTCCCAAAGGCGCGGGATTACAGGCTGAGCCACCGAGTCCGGTTGTTAGAATCTTTATAATGAATTCAGATAATAGTAAAAAGCAAGGCTATCCTGTTATTTTAAAATAGCTTGTCCTACACTGTAAGGAATATGGACATTTTAGAATGAGTATAAGTAGAATACCCTTTACAAAATGGGCAAGGTGGAAAGAAAAGAAGCTTCAGATCCTCCAAAATTTTCCTTTTGTGCTACCCTTCCATTTACTAGTTTCTATATTTAATGATATCTTTTAACCTGTGTAAATTGTAGGAGGTTATTCCGGGCCAATAGCTAACTTAAGATTAATACTAAGACATACATAATGACAAATCCACTTCATGGTGATATATAAAAAGTAAAAAATTAAACCACACTTTATAAGAAACAATTTTCTCAAAGACAAAAAATCCCCCACAAAACTCTTTTAGAATTTCTGATTACCAATGAAGATGACTAAGTGATGTATCTTTCATTTAGTAAGCAATTAGTAAGCAACTAGTTGTTCTTAAACCCTCTCTCTGAAAGATGCCCCTCCAGCTGATGAATGTGCCATCCCTACTCCCCTGTCATAGGGTAGCGGTTAATAGCAGTCTCTGGAGACAGATTGAGAGAGTGCAAGTCTCAACTCAACTACTTAACAGATGTATGGAGACGTGGCTTAACCTCTCTGTGCTTTATTTTCTTCATTTGTAAAGAAGAGATAGTTACGGTATTTTTATTTCACCCTTGTAGAAATTAAATAAGCTAATATCTGAAAAGCACATAGAATATGCCGGGCTCGTGGTAAACATCATATGGCTACAATTCTCATAATCACCAGCATCATCATGGAACCCTGACATACTGTGTTGTACTGTATTGTCCAGCCTGGGTGACAGAGTGAGACTCTATCACAAAAAAAGAGAAAAGAAAAGAAGACATTTCCCACAAACTTCATGATCCTTCTATGAGTCAAAATATAACCTCCTTAAAAACTGCATGAATTGCCGGGCTCGGCGGCTCAGCCTGTAATCCCATGCCTTTGGGAGGCTGAGGTGAGTGGATTGCCTGAGCCCGCGGGTTCGAGACCCGCCTGGGCAACTTGGCGAGACCTCATCTCTACATAAATCAAAAATTAGCCAGGCGTGGTAGTGCGCACCTGTAGTTCCAGCTACCTGGAAGGCTGAGGCGGAAGGATCGCCGGAGCCCAGCAGGTCGGAGCTGCAGTGGCTGGGAGCGGCCACTGCACTCCAGTCTGGGTGACAGAGTGAGACTCCAACTCAAAAAAAAAAAAATTGCATGAATTAGTTTCACTAATGGCTGCCGAAGTCAATATTTTTTTTAAGCAGAGGATTTAAAGAGATTTCAGAATCTTATGAAATTAGAATGAATCTCACTAAGTAAACAAGTAAATGTTTTCACGTAATCAAAATTTAAAATGAAGTAAACCATACCACAATTAATTTAGACTTTTTTTTTTTTTTTTTGAGTTGGAGTCTCACTCTGTCGCCCAGACTGGAGTGCAGTGGCCGCTCCCGGCCACCGCAACTTCGACCTGCTGGGCTCTGGCGATCCTTCCGCCTCAGCCTTCCAAGTAGCCGGAATTACAGGCGCGTGCTACCACGTCCAGCTAATTTTTTGATTTATTGTAGAGATGAGGTCTCGCTGCCCAGGCGGGTCTCGAACCCGCGGGCTCAGGCAATCCACTCACCTCAGCTTCCCAAAGGTGCGGGATTACAGGCTGAGCCACCCAGCCGGCTAATTTAGACTTTTATATGCAGACAAGCTCAGGAAGAGCTTCCAGGCAGCTCTTTGTTTATAACTTGCTTGATTGCTTCTTATAAGGTCACGAAGAATGCTGCCTTTCTAAACTAACATCATAAAAAGGTTCTCTCCCTCCTGTCTACCAAACAGGCATTCAGATGATTCACATCTGGTCATTGTCCACATGTACTGGGGTGTGCCATCTGCCAGGCTGTAGAGGATTCACTCGATCACTCCTCCCAACACCCCATACAGTGAATCCTAGTATTGTTGCCCCTAATTTCAAGAGAAGAAAACTAAGACAGAGGTAGGGACATGCCCAGACTAGAAAGGGATGACATGGAATTCAGCCCCCCAGCTGGGCTCCAGTGTACTGGGCCTCACTCCCCAACTCTGCCTCCTAATCCACCCAGGCTAAGTCATCTTTTCTGCCTGCCTCACCTCTCTAGGGCCTCAGGAGTTAAGACGTGGAGAGGTCTGGCAGGTAAGACCCTCCACAACACCACACAAATCCTTTTGAAATTTATTTTTTCATATTCTCCTCCTGTGCATACAAAAACTGGCTAGGAAGCATTTCATTTTTTCCTGCCTCTGTATTTATCTATTTATTTATTTTGAGTTGGGGTCTCACTCTGTCACTCAAGCTGGAGTGCAATGACACTATTACAGCTCACCCCAGCATTGGCCACCTGAGCTTAGGTGATCCTTCTGCCACCATGCCCCGCTAATCTTTTGATTTTTTTTTTTTTTTGTAGAGACAAGGTCTCGCTGTGTAGTCCAGGCTGGTCTCAAAATCCCGGGTTCAAGCAATCCTCTTGCCTTGACCTCCCAAAGTGCTGGTATTACAGGTATGAGCTACCGCGCCTGGCCTTTTCCTCTATATTCAAAGCCTGAGTGCTGACCTCCATTTCCCCTGCGTTGTTTCCATTATTAAAATTACACCAACTGGGCTCGGTGACTCAGCCTGTAATCCCGTGCTTTGGGAGGCTGAGGTGAATGGATTGCCTGAGCCCAGGGGGTTCAAGACCAGCCTGGGCAACTTGGTGAGACCTCGTCTCTACAATAAAATAAAAATTAGCTGGGCGTGGTAGCGCACGTCTATAGTTCCCGCTACTTGGAATGTTGAGGCAGAAGGATTGCCTAAGCACAGCAGGTCGAGGCTGTAGTAGCCGTGAGCATGCCACTGCACTCCAGCCTGGGTGAGAGAGTGAGACAAAAAAAAAAAAATACACTTAAATAAACATACTGCCCATGCTACACTGTTAACAGTGATCATGGTCAGGTGCAGTGGCTCATCCCTTTAATCTCAACATTTTAGAAGGTTGAGGAGGAAGGATCACTTGAGGTCAGGAGTTCAAGACTGGCCTGAGCAATATAGCAAGATCCCCATCTCCACACATACACACAAAACCAGTGATCATGCTTGAAAAATGGGACTCTGTGTGGGTGGCTGTGGCAAGCAGGGAAGAAGAAAGGGCAGGGATGGAATTCTAGAAGCCAAAGAACTTTCATTTCTTACTTTATATACTTTGGTACTGCTTGGATTTTTTTCCTAATGAGCTAGTGTTTTTAATTTTTTTCTAAAATTTATAGAGATGGAATCTCACTATGTTGCCCAAGGCGCTTTTAAACTCCTGGCCTCAAGCAATCCTCCAGCCTCAGGGAGTGTTGGGATTACAGGCATGAGCCACAGCACCCAGCCATAATTTTTTTTTTTTTTGAGTTGGAGTCTCACTCTGTCACCCAAACTGGAGTGCAGTGGCCGCTCCCGGTCACTGCAGCCTTGACCTGCTGGGCTTCGGTGATCCTTCCACTTCAGCCTTCCAAGTAGCTGGAACTACAGGCGTGCGCTACCAAGCCCGGCTAATTTTTTGATTTATTGTAGAGATGGTGTCTCGACCCCGCGGGCTCAGGCAATCCACTCACCTCAGTCTCCCAAAGCATGGGATTACAGGCTGAGCCACTAAGTCCGGCTCATAATTTTTTTTTAATCAATAAAAATGTTTAAAGAGTAGCCTCACCTCCACCACCTTAAAAACAACACAAAAGCACATTTAGTACCCTCTCATTTTTTACTTTCTCTTGCCCAAATTCTAGACTCCTGCTTTCTGGTTATACAGTTAATTTTAACTATTGTTTTTGAATCACTTATAAGCACTGTGATTCGTACAGTTCTATTTATCTTTTAAAAGGCTGTGATTAAATCTGTAATGGCCCAAACAGATCCTGCTGTCCAGCCGCCTCAGGCTCTAAATCATTTCTTCCCTCAACAAGGAATATATCAGAAAACCACCTGATTTCCTGGACTGGCCTAAACTGACAGTATGCTTTAGAGGTGAGGGCCAGATTATAATAGGAGAGACTTGGCAGAGAGAAAGAGGGAAAGAACGCA